ACAGTTCAGTGGTATTACATCCACTTTGTTCTGCAACCATATCCATCCCCATAACTCTTCCATCTTATAAAACTGAAACTACGTATTAAGGAAAAACTCTCCATCCACCCCTTCTCCCGGCCCCTCGCAATCATAATTTGTTTTTATGATTTTGACTATCATAGAAGTGGAATCCTACAGTATCTAAGTTTCATCCGTGATGTAGCATATTGCAGAATTTCCTCCTCAGAGGCTGAGTAATACTTCATTGTATATATATGCCATACTTTGCTTATCCATTCACCTGTTGATAGACATCGGTTGCTTCCACATTTTACCTGTTAGTAATGCTGCTATGAACATGGATGTACAAATAGAGGTCTTCGAGACCCTGCTTTCAGTTCTTTTGGGTATATATCCTGAAGTTGTATTGCTGGATCATATGGTAATGTTAGATTTTTGAGGAACCTCCATACTGTTTTCCACAGCAGCTGTACCATATTACATTTCCACCAACTGCACAAAGGTTCCAGTTTTTCTACATTCTCACCAACACTTGTTATCTTTTGCTTATTTGAATGTAGCTATCCTAATGGGTGTGAGGTAGTAACAACTTTTCTAGGAAAAGATCATGCCAGTTACTGCCTTGTGTATCAGTGTTTAGGACCATGCTGGCACATAGCACGCATTCAAAATTTGTTGCATGATGCTTTTGTATCCTCACCTGAATTGTAAATATTCAGAGCAGGAACCATTGCTTACCCCCACAGTGCTAGGCCTTACTAAAGATTAAGTAATGCTGGGATACATACTCTTCCCAGCTTCCACATGATACAAATGAGCATAGAGATGAGACCATTACCAAACTGCTACAGAAACATAAGGTAGGGCGCCTGGGTGGCTCAGTTGTTACGTGTCTGCCTTCGGCTCAGGTCATGATCCCAGGGTTCTGGGATCGAGTCCCGCATCGGGCTCCCTGCTCAGCGGGGAGCCTGCTTCTCCCTCCCCCTCTGCTCCTGCTTGTGTCCCCTCTCTCACTGTGTCTCTCCCTGTCAAATAAATAAAATCTTAAAAAAAAGAAACATAAGGTAGATTTTATTTGAGGTATGATTTTTTTCCTCTTTATAAATGCAATTGGGAATTCAGACTATAAAAAATATACAGAAGACAGTAAATCTTCCAGAATCTGAGATACTGTTTATTCTGTTTTGAAATGTAGAGCTATTGCTATTATAGATAATGCTATTCAATCATATTTGCATTTATATCCACCTGCTTATTTTTGCATATATAATTTTAGAAGATTATATGTGCTATTTTGCAGCCTTTTTAATTTTTTTTTATAAGATTTGAGAGAGTGAGGGGAGGGTCAGAGGGAGAGAATCTTCATGCAAACTCCCCGCTGAGCACGGAGCCTGATGTGGGGCTGTCTTGCAACTCCAAATGGATCTCAGAATCCATGAGATGATGATCCCAGTGAAAACCAAGAGTTGGACGCTCAACTGACTGAGCCACCCAGGCGCCCCTTGCAGCTTAAAAAAAAAAAAAAAAAAGCATCAAACCCTACCAAGAGATATACATCTTTTTTTTTTTAAGATTTTATTTATTTATTTGAGAGAGAGCACACAAGCAGGGGGTAAGGAAGAGGGAGAAGCAAACTCCCTGCTGAGCAGGGAGCCCCATGTGGGACTAGATCCCAGGACTGTGGAATCATGACCTGAGCCAAAGGCAGACACTTAACTGACTGAGCCACCCAGGCATCCAGGATACACATCTTTTTAATAACTAATGTTTTACTCTGTTACACCATAATTCATTTGACCAATTCCATATTGATAGGTTTTTTGTTTCTGTGGAAGCCTTACATGTCCCTACATAGGTCTATCTTCTTTGGGCAAATTCCTATACATGGGAGTGTTTGAGTCAGAAGATCTGCCCATTTTACATTTTGATAAAAAGTCTGCAGGAATGGGGTGCCTGGCTGGCTCAGTTGGTAGAGCATGCGACTCCTGATCTTAGGGTCCTGAGTTCAAGCTCCACATTGGGCATGGATCCTACTTTAAAAAAAAAAAAAAAAGTAAAGTCTGCAGGAAGTTGGTAGTTTACACTGGGAGCTTATTCACAGCCATCCTGGGCCTTCATTACTATACTTTCCTGATTCCTACTTCAACTTCCATCTCAAGTTAGGATTCATTTTACTAACTGAACCAAACAGAAGAATTTCTGCAGTGTCTTTAAACTGGATCTCTAATAGTCTCATTGAAGTGTCTGTCCTTACCATTGGCAAATTGTTAGCCTCTGCTCTACTAACAGCACTTTCCATGCAAGACCATCACCACCACCGTCCAGACATAGTATGAACATTATGCAAATGAGCACAGGGTTCTTGGAAGGAAGGATAGCCAGAGGATATCAAGGAAGTACTCTGGGCCCATCAAGCTTTCCCAGCCACAATGGTGAACTCCCACTGTGAGCTGGAAATCGTATTTGAACTATATACCGAATTTTTTCTTTAAGTAAGTTCTGTCCCCAAGGTGGGGCTCGAACTCACAACCGACAAATCAGGAGTTGCATGTTCTACCAATTGAGCCAGTCAGGTGCCCCAGAAATTGAGATCTTAACCCCTTTGAGAAAATGAATGTAAGCCTTTGAATGGTTCAGATGAAAACAAACCAGGGGGGCGCCTGGGAGGTTCAGTTGGTTAAGCGTCTGTCTGCCTTCGGCTCAGGTCATGATCCCAGGGTCCTGGGATGGAGCCCCGCGTTGGGCTCTCTGCTCAGCAGGGAGTCTGCTTCTCCCTCTCCCTCTGCCCCTGCTCCTGCTCTCTCACACACTCTCTAACAAAATATTTTAAAAAAACAACATGGGGCGCCTGGGTGGCTCAGTTGGTTAAGCGACTGCCTTCGGCTCAGGTCATGATCCTGGAGTCCGGAATCAAGTCCCACATCAGGCTCACCGCTCAGCAGGGAGTCTGCTTCTCCCTCTGACCCTCCCCCCCCTGCTCTCTCTATCTCATTCTCTCTCTCAAATAAATAAATAAAATCTTTTTAAAAAAAAACAACTGGGATTGGGGTGCCTGGGTGGCTCCCTTCGTTGGGCATCTGACTCTTGGTTTTGGCTCAGGTCATGATCTCATGGGTCGTGGGATCAAGCCCTGAGTTGGGCTCCACACTCAGTGGGGAATCTGCTTGAAGATTCTCTTCCTCTGCCCTTATCCCTGTGCATGCTCCCTAATAAATAAATTTTTTAAAAAAACCACACACACCAGGATTTATGAAAAATACTTTTTCAATGTAATCAAGTAGTTTACTAAGTCACAAATTCTAATCTTTTCATGATTAGCTTCTGAGTGTCTGGTCAACTACAGATAATGTAAACTCCACCTATTTTGATTTTGTTTTCCTCCCTCCTCCTGTTCATGCCTCTTCCAGCCTCAGGTTGATAGTTTATCTTTCACGTTCCCTGGATGAATCATACTCTGCAGACCTGTAAAACAGCACCATCTCCTTCCTCCCAGAGCTGTTTGCTCAGCAAGCATCAAAGCCAAACCCTTCCTCCCAGTTTAGGCTACAGATCTGAAAATGTGGCCAAAGAGGTTCACCCAGGGGCTATGACAGAACAACTGTGTTCTCACTTCTTTGGGCCTTTGGAAAACCAACCTAAAGCAGACTTTTTTTTTTTAAAGCAGACTTTCAATGAATGTAATGGACCTAAAGATGAGTAAGCCCTCTTCTGGATTCCTTCCCATGGAGGGAACCATTTTTCTTTCCTTAGTTTTAGTAGATACTAAAAGCATGTTTGTTGTTTTTTTTAAGTAAGCTCTACACCCAATGTGGGGCTTGAACTCACGACCCCAGGATCAAGAGTTGCACGCTCTATCGACTGACCCAGCCAGGTGTCCCTTTTGTGCTTTAATATTCAAATTTTACCAGAGTAAAAAGGTAAATCTCACTCCTTCATTTTCCTTCCCCAAAGGTAAGAAATTACTTTTTGTGTGTCCTCTTTAAAATATAGTGTATATATACTCAAACATCCAAATTTTTTTACACATACTATATAATGCACTTTGGTTAGTATCAGTAAAATATATATATTGAGGCTTGCCAATGATGACCGCAAGGATTAAAGTAATGTGTGGGGGCAGTGTATTAGGATCCTGGACTAGGAAGCTCTTGGACCCTGAGGTCCCACCCTTCTATACTATCTCTGGACAGGATATTTCTTCCCTTACCCGCAAAGAAGCTTCCATAGGCTGCCTAGGAACCAAATATTCATAATTTGAAAGTGTGTGTGCCTGAACGTGTCTGAATTCAGGGAGTTGTATAGATCATATCCTTATGTGAATTTGTCCTAGTTTGTTGTTTCCCTATTATGGGTCTGTGTCAGGATCTCTGGATGTCACTGGGTGCGTGTCACTGTTAGTGTGACACTGTATCATGTTTGGTGTGTATGCGCGTGTGTGAATGCGCTGTCCTTATCCAGACGTTCCTGTTTGGTGTTATTTTAGATAACCGCTGCGATCTGTATTCTTCAGCCCCCAGCTCCCCCACTCACTGCATGCCAACATTCTTTTTTTTTTTTAAGATTTTATTTATTTTTTAGAGAGCGAGCGAGAGGGAAACAGCATGAGAGGGGAGAGGGTCAGAGGGAGAAGCAGGCTCCCCGCTAAGCCGGGAGCCCCATGTGGGACTCGATTCCAGGACCCTGGGATCATGACCTGAGCCGAAGGCAGACGCTTAACCATCTGAGCCACCCAGGGGCCCTGCATGCCAACATTCTTGAAGGATGGGCGGGTGTTGGGGCACAAGCTCGCCTAACTCCAGTTTCCCAGAGAGAACGCAACAGGACTTCCCGTATACCCCGCGCCCGCCAGGCACGCAGAAGAGGCCGTTGTGCACGCACACGCGTTCAGCCTGGGATACGAAGAAAACCTTTGGGTCGCGCCTTCTCTCGCGCGCTCTCTAGTGGCCTCAGAGAGCAGCGCTGACAGAACGAGGGGGCGGAGCCGACGGCGGCGGAAGTGAAGTCACTTCCGGGCTGGGGTGTTTGTTTGGACTGGAGAAGGGAGGCGGCGGGCGAAGCGCGCGTCGAGCGGGGAAGCGGCGCTGCCTGTGGAGATCCGCGGAGGCCGACCGGATTCGTTGGCTGCCGTCCCCGCTGCCGTGCACTGGGTGAGGGGTTCCCTCGGGCGGAGCGGCCAGAAGGGTGCGGCGACCCCGGCGGTCGAGGGACAGCACCTCGGCAACGGTTGAGGGGCCTGGAGGGTCCCCCGGGTTGTTGGCCACCAAGCCTCGTATGGCTTCCTTTATTCCTTGCACCTTTAGTTGCGTCCGAGAGATGAGTTGGGACCGACTTAGACTCTTTCTTCTCTGAGAAATGGCCGTCGCTTTTTTTCTCATTGTCATTATTATTTATGATTTGGATCTCGCAGCACTCTATCCGGGTCTTCAGTGGCGCGCGAGGGTTGCCGGGATAGCACTTTCTCGTGCGCCCCCCCCCCACTTTCTTCACCTCCTCACTAGTACCCTTTTCCCCTGCCCCCCACTGCCGCTTCGGCAACAAAGCTCATTGTTTCTCCCCAGTTTACGCCTGCGCGTCGCCACGCGCAGCTCCTACTTGCTGCGCGTGCGCGCTGCTCTCGAAGCTGAGGTGGGGGAAGAGAAAGGGGTGGAGGGACTGGTGGGCTGGCGAGCGTCCTAGGGGAGCATTCTGCGACCGTCCACGGGCCAGTACCTTTCTGATCGGCTTTCTCCGGTTTCTTCACCTTCACTTACTCTTTATTTTTAGTTATATTGTTTCCCATGCTCAGGATAGGAGGGCTGGACTCCTACTCCGGGAGGGTTGTGAGCCAGATGAACTTTAAGGGCCCATCCAGTTCATATTCTTGGATTCCGGTCCTCTTAAATTTCTCTTCCACTATGTGCTTACTGCCCACTACCACAAAAATTATGTGGCTTGTGGTGAAGTTTGTTTTTTCAAAACATTTGTTGAAGCAGCCAGCAGTGTGATTTTCTGGTGACTCAAAAAGGGGCCTTTTCTGCTTCCTCTTGTTGTCTTGCTTTCCCTGATTTTGCAGCCCCATCACCTCACCGAAACCTCAAACTCTAGAAAGAATTTGGTTTCTAATTTGCCGTGGGAGAAAGTCTAACAGCTGACAGCTTTTGACATTTATTTCAACAGAAGACAAATTCCCGTTTTCGTGTGTGGCTAATATTGTAGTCTCGTGGCATGATTTTTCACAAATTGCAGTTGAGCAGGTGTTGGTCTTCATTTTCTTCAAAATAGCCTTTGAAATTTCAACCGCTGCAGGTTATGTTTGGAAATAAGGAAAGGGTCTAAGGATTTTTAATGTGATTCCGAGTGTTTGCTGGTTTGTGCTTCTGATTCCAGTTTGTGAAAGGATATTTGGGGCAAATTAGCTTGTTTATGCTCCTTGTTAATTGTGAATTTGTACAAAACTTAATCTTTTATCACGGATAAGTGTCTACGACAAATAAAGATAGGTGACTTTCCAAAAATGACAGCCTATTTATCTCTTTCTTTAAGGGATGGGTTTTAGGCAATGGAAACTCCTGTGATGGTTAAAGGCTTGAGAGCTGGGAGGGTTTTATTATAATATATTGCATGTTGCTGTTAAGGAGCTCCAGTTGAGGTAGATGATCTCTAACCTCTTTGGAACAGAGTAAGTTTATAGTAGGCTTTTCCTTCAGTAAGCACTCTACACCTTATTCAGGTTTACCCCTTTGTGACTCTAGAGAGTGATGCTCCAGTTTCAATAGAAAATATAAACAAAATGCTGTTAGCATAGCAATTTCATGGACAGTGTGAGGTGAAAGAAGGTAGAAAATAAGAACTCAGCTCCCTTCCTTTTGTGCTTTTACATATCCTTGTAATTTACAAACGTGTTCATTATAACCTATGAAATAGGCAGAGCAAGTTTTATCTTGCCCATTTTGAAATTGAGAAAATAGAGTTTTATTAGGCACATATTTCTATAGCACTTAGTAATGCCAGACATTGTTCTGAGTGCTTTTACAAGTATTTAATATTCACCTTCTCTAGGTGGTAAGTATTACTGTAAAGTAAAGATAACAAGTAATGATGTGAATTAACTGGTCCACTGTTGCACAGCTGGTAAGAACTGGAATTCAGACCCAAGTAGTCCAGAGATTATGTGCTCTTAACCATTTTACTGTGCTGCTTGTGGTTTAGTGACATATTCAGGATCCTCTAGGTGGTTAGTGGCATATCGTAGATTTGGACCCAGTCCAAGATTAAAGTTGTCCAAGTTATCTCTTTGTGATCTGGACCACCCTGTTGCATAGGTGCATTAGTAATTTGCGTTTGATACAGCCTAAGGTTCGGTTATAGTAACAATCTTTTTTCCCTTTTTTCTTCTAAATTTCCTTATTTTTATTATTTTTTTAAGATTTTATTTATTTATTCATGAGAGA